AATCAGGTTTATCAATCTGAAGCTGATATACCAAATTCAACAGAAACGGTTTTAGATCAATTCCCTTGACGCCATTAGAATGTGAAGCCAAACAGACTGTCGAACATAGCAAAGACTCGAGAAACATTCCATCATTGCTATCCTGTACAGCATTCGAAAAGTATAGAATATGGCTGCGATAATCCGGATTACTCTTGGCTTTCATCAAAAAATGTGCATATGGCACCTGCTTGCCATCCCCTGCATAACAGGCGGAAAATCCCTTTCCACCCATCAACAGCAGGTAAAGCAAAATATCGTTCTTTAGCTCTGGAAACACCGAAGACGGTTCCCAAGAAGCAGAATGGTCTTGAATACATCCATCATTCATCAATATAAAGTTTTTTTTTCCATCTAGCTGGGCAAAGTGTGAGTGAATCAATGGAGTCGATTGGTTTTTCAGATTGGTCGATTGGCTTTCCAAATCGGTCAGTTGACAGTGAGCGTTATGAAACAGCCGAACCTGTCCAAGTTGTCCGTAAAGATTTCCAAATATCTTTTTGACTGATTTCAGTTTAATAAACGCTGCTTTCATCAATTCGTCAAAATCTGAAGCATTGTTTGCGATTTCTTCTGCGACAAGCTGCGCAAAAAGTGGCCTTGAGTTGAGTATGATAGATTTGAGATATCTTGGTAGTGTTTGTGGCAATCCTGTTAGTTCTAGTTTTACTGCTGGAAATTCCCCAAACACATGACACCACGGCATTGGAACATCACTTCGACTGCTTCCTCCAATGCTGAGTTGCAGTTTGGCTGCTCTGGAATCTGTTCCCATCATAACGAGTCCCAGACCCAATGAACGAAAGCAATTTCGCACAAATCGCACTTTTTTTAAGGACTGGTCTGAAATAGCAATACACTCGTCCAGAATAAACACTGGTCTGTGTTGATGGATTCCTTTGGAAGTCATCAGCTCTTGGACATCTTTGCCAGTCTTTGGGCCAATACTGACTGTGGGTGACTGAATTTTGTTGGATAGCAGTTCAAAAATAAATCCATACATATATAGACTTTCTTTGAACAGCGAACCACAGCTTGGAGATGAAGTTTCAGAAGTGTACATGTGCTCATCTTCTACATAACATTTGCTGAACAACTTTGAAATGTTTTCAAAGTTGCGGTAGATTCTTTGTGATGTCGAACCGGGAGGATCGAACAGGAGATAATGCACTCTCCTCCGATCACCAATATTGGCTTTGATATTAAAGCCCATCTGACTCTTTCCTGAGCCAGATGAGCCCTCGAGAAATGCAAACGGTAAATTTTTGAAGCTTGACCCCGAAAATTCTCCAGCTGTGACTGCAAGGATAATTTTTACAATTTGCACGACACAGTCGTCATCTTTTAAAGAATCGGCAATGTGATGATACTTTAAAAGTGACACAGTGGTTTCGGTATCTGCAGTTTCTTCGAATGTTCCTGAAACCATTCCGGTATTCGAACCTACTGGAGCTCCTGACATTGAATTAGAGATGCCTTGTCCAGTACCATTGTTGGCCTTGATGACAAGCGGTTGGTTGTAGGAACCAACCGGCTCCTGAATGGAGGTCAACAGAGTATTCCCAGCAATGGCTGGACCATCCACCACATAATGGATGGTGAGCTCGTCAGGGTCTATAGCACCAAGTTTTGATGGAAGTGCTTGTTTGACTGCTGCAACCAAGTCAGAAATATTAGGCTCTTCTCCTTCAGGGACAGGCAACTTTTGAGTAAATAATGATACCGGAGTGTTTTCAAGGTATTTCACATAAATCCTGGTCATTTTGGAGTTTATGAAGGAAAGGAATGGAATAAAGTGGAGTAGAATGAAGTGAGTAGAGTAAATAAGAATGTAATGGAATGAAGAAAGGAAAAAATTGGACTTTAAATCCAAAATTTAATTGTTTGAAACAATGTGAAACAAATTCACATGCTTTGAATATTAAACATTTTTGTGTGAAATTAAAACTGTCAAATTGTATTAATTTGTCATGTATTCAAATTCACACACTTTGAATAGTGTTTAGACATTTGTCATGTGTTTATTTGTATTGTTCAATCAAGTGTCAATTCAACTCAATTGATTACGTCATTCATATAATGACTCGAGTCTTTTATTCAACATTTAATATTCAATTATTGTTAATCAGTCAATTGTTGGATTGGTAAATACGCTACAAAACATTCATTTACATGCTGAATCTGACAAGAGAATAATGATTGTTCCAATCAACACATGGATTGAATTGACTGCAATATTGTCATTGATTACAGTCACTGTTGACCAATACACTGTAATACATTGACAGTTTCGGCATCAACATTGTCATTCATGTCAAGTTGTGCGTAGTTGCTAATATTACACCACAACAATACTGTTGCTTTTGGACGTATGACAACATATTAATGTAGTATAGTTTTGGAGGAATATCAAAAGTAAAAGATGAGAATGAAGGAATGAACCAATGAGTTAATTGTGTTGTTTATTGATAAAAGAAAACATTGATCATTTTATAAAGATGTAAATAACGGTTATGCGTATCCGTGAATTAGACGTCATAGCTGAGAAAGTCTCTTGTTATTGCACAAGTGATGGCTGCGATAGACATCGCCTCAAACATATATGCGTCGTGTGAGTCTCTGAAATATCTCGTTATTTATGATATTTTCACATTACCAATGTTTAACAACTCTGACACAGTAATGCGGACTCGTGCACCGAGTTGAGTTGTCCAGCAATCGATTTTGGAAATGTGTTTGATGTGATGGTTTGAGATGGATGCCAAATGACCACGAATGTTACCAATTGTCATGACAGTTGATTGTTGATTCAAAACGTTGTTTGTTTGGTATTAATGGTTAGAGTGTCACTCATTGACCTGTCAGATCAGCAAGTGTTATTTTGGTGAGTTTCGTGTTTATTGTAGTCACATCAACATCAGCAGATTGCACTACGGATTTGCTTGACAGAGTTGCAGATCCAGTTGGATTGATAGACGAGCAACTGTGCAAACAACTGTGCGAGTTGCAGGATGTTTGAGATCCAACAAAACACTGCTTGCACACAAGTTCGCGAATGCAGATTGTCAGACTTGACCATCAACTCACAGTATAAATTGCATGTACGACAGTTTACACGCTTACCCATCAACAATAAACCCACATAATCAGTAAATCGTCAACGAGCAGCCAGCTCAGTGGTCGGGTTGATGTTTTTTGTTGGAGTTTCTGGATCAAACTTGACCTGATTTGTACCGAGTTGGGTCATGACTACAAGTTTGACAGCAATAGATTGATCTACTAATAATCTGATCGTGTTGTTGATTGTATGCATGTTGGTAATCCGTTGCAGATTGATACGGAATGTGACCAAAATACCACAAAGTTTATTGAGTGTGCACATTGCATTCGATGCAAAACGCAATAAACAAATGCGAGTTGCAGCATTCATTCAAGGTTTGACACCAGTCGATACAGCATTGACCACAATGGTATTTATGTCAACAATTGCACGACTACGGAATAAGTTGATTGTTGCTTGGCATTCCGTATCGACAGTCTGCATGTGTGGGCAACGTGCTGTTGTCGCATATGAACAACTTGGATTGACTTTGTGGACAAAACACAGTCACTGTTGCGGTGGTATTCACAGTCGTGGAAATGGTTTCGAATACCACAACTGGTATAACAACTGCATGTGTTGGTGAGCAATCAGAGTCCAGTTTGACCAAGATCTGTTCCAGTAATGATCGAATGACATTGTCGTGTTTGGTCATCATGACAACAATGTCATTGGTTTGACTCTGCGACTGACCAAATGCGCTAGTCACAGCGTTTCCAATTGAGTTCATATTACTTGTGAGGATCGTGAACATATGATGGCATATTGATGGTTGTCATTATTGTCAAGTGTGTTGCAGTTGATCAAGGATGTAAAGGAATGAATCGATATTCGATTGTGTTGTTTATTAACAAGGAAGTGAGTGTGTTTATAAAATGGAAGAAACCAAGAAAGTCATGTGAATTCCAGTTCAAACGTCATTGTTGATGGTTTTTGATTGTTAAACTATTCAGAAATGTCTCACATTCACACACTACTAATGTCTCACACAATGCAAGTCAACACTCTCACACTAGTAATGTCTCACATTAATGAGACATTAATTCTGGTGTAAATTTGACTAATTTCCAAATATTTAAATCGTGTGAATTGTCTTGAAATATCCCAAAATTTTGTTATTTTGACTCGATTAAAAAGTCGATTTTTGTTTTACAATTTGACAAATAAATTGCTTTTTTACTCTTTTTCTTTTCATAAAATGCCAAAACGATACCTCAATGTTGAATACGACACTATTTCTACTGAAATCGATGTGACTGACTTTGAAGACCTGAGTGACGTTCAGGATGCTATCAAGTCTGAGTATGGTCCTGCTATGGCTGACATTGATGCTCCTCAACTCCAACTCTACACCAACAGTAACAAAAACCAACTAATCAACACCTGGACTTTACTCGACTCTCTTCCTCAATAATACTTTACTCAAGATGGTTCTTGTGTTGTCATTGGTGTTTACCATCACCTTCAAGACAGCCTACTCAAACTGACCTTTTTGCCGCAGGTTCTACTTTAACAGCAGGATACAAGAAAAGAAGAACAAGTGAATGGGAGAAACTATCAACACTTGCTCAACTTTCATACGACCCAAATTCAACCATTTTCAAACTTGACACAAATTACTTGGCCAAGACTGGTCTATCTACTCAAAAACTCATTCTTTATTGCCGTCCAACTTTTCATGAGCAATTCAGTTTTTTACGGGAAAAAGTCATTGATAATGGGGTTCTTGGTTGGATTCTAGGACCACCAGGAACTGGCAAGTCGACTACTGCTCTGGCATTTGCCTCAACTCTGGACAAAAATGACTGGGTTGTTACTTGGATTCATTTGTACATAGATTGTTATCCAGTATGTGTTCGTTTGGAGGGCAATTCAAAGAAATCCCAGGAAATCTACGACAGCAATATCGACAAACTTTTTGATATTTTGCATAAAGTAGATGAATCAAAACAACACATTGTGTTTATTGATGGATACACTTCAAATGGACAAAAACACATTGATGTACAGCAAGCTTGCTATTCATGGCTCGAAGAAGACCGAGAAAAAAGAAGATTGGTTGTCGTTTGTTCAATGTCCTCACGTTACAAAGCAAAGTTGGAGGAAGATATGCTGTTGAATCTCAAACAACTCAACGTCTATTCTTGGAAGGAAGAAGAGTATATTCATGCTGTTTGAAATGACGAATTCTTTAACCATGTCAAGGCTGTTTTGGATTCTGATTTACAGATTGATTCGTCTTGTGAAGACTTGGTCCGTTCTAAACTATACTTTGCGGGTGCTTCTGCCAGATGTATGTTTTTTTGCGACCAAAGATGTGATCCAACAAACATATGGATTAGTCACTTTTGTCAATGATATTTTTCCATACGTCAAAGGCACAATAGGCGACCAGTCTAATAATGTCGTGGATCGTCTCTTCAGTTCAAGTTTAGTAGAGAATGATGTGTTCCCTTGAAAAACATCTATTGTCAGTCAATTTGCCGGGGTTATGTTGGCCATCAAGAAAGGACCAGACCTGATTCGTAAATTGGCCAAAGCTACTCGGCATGATGGAAATCCTTCTATGGATGGTTGGATGTTGGAAATGTGGTTCTTTGCCAGTCTTTATTACGACGGAGTAAAATTGTTTGACGAAAACGATAACGAATTTCAAACTTGGCCAGCATCCAACTTTAAAACTCTGGATATCAATGCTTTTCCTGCTCTACCAGAAAATAATGGTGTTTGGTTTAAGCCAAACAAATGGAACCAAGGAGGATTTGATGCTATTTTTTTGGATAAAGGAAAAGGGTTGGTTAGATTCGTTCAAGTAACTGATGGCGACACACATTCATTCAAAATCAAGTATTTCCACAGTTTTTTGCTGATGCTATGCCAATCGCCTCAATCGTTTGAGATTACATGCTTGGAAATTATCTTTGTTGCTGACCAAAAGAAACGCTCAACTTTCAAGGTAGCCGAACCATCGGTACCAGGCATGTTAACAGATTTTGGTTGGAGACTCGGTGAAGAGTTGGATAAAGTCAAAGTTGTTTTCATAAAGGGATGGTGCGATTAATTTGTAACTGCCGTTGTCTATCATAAAGACAGTGTATTCTAGTTAAAGCAGAGAGTATGAATCTGGCACAAAAAGATCCTGAAATTTCAAACTAATAAACAAGCTGGTACTTTATTTTAAAGATTTTGACAATTTCCCTCATCTCCGATAATTTGATGTTTTTTGGCAACTTTGGACATAGTTTGGCTGTAAACACTGGTTGATAAAACTGGTATCAGTCGGTGCCCAATATATACTACTAACAAATATTTGAAATCATTTGATGCAGAATGTTCAATAGACATGTTTGCTCATACAACAACCCAAAACATACACTCGCATCTGGAAAAAGTATCCTACATTAAACCATCAAAAATATGGTTTGATTAAACTACTAAACATTTACCAATCCCTGCAAACACATGGGTGTACAATGATTTATCAAAAACTAATATTAAAAACACTGATCATGCTACAATGCAATACAATTGTAAAAACCCGTCCGAGTTGTTGAAACATTACAATAGTTTGGATGTAAAGCCTGCGACTGGAGCAACAAAAAGGTTGACCAGCTTGTTCAAAACAATCCATTTTGACATTCATAAAGCTGCCATTAGCATTGTTGACGTGTCTGTCATATGTATGGAATATGAATGAACATGACGTTGAATTTAAACTGTTCAAGGGGAATGAAACTCATATCAGAAATATAAAGACTTGAACATTTGATTTTGTGAGTAGTCAATGAGTAGTCAATAAAAGATCAGTATGGTTGTGTTTTTACTGGACAAGTCTTGAACAAGTCTTGGATTCTGCTTGATTGATAAACCATCAATTCGTGACGCAAGTCTTGATCTGCGTCTTGCCAAAGTTGATCAATTTGATATTCCCTTGACCAGTTAAAATCATGTTTTCTGGTCTCAACTCCTCATGAACTACACCAACCGATTACAAGTGTCGAATAATCCAATCCAACTCACTGTCTGTTCTCCAGTCACAGTGCTTTCCAGGAATAAAGTCCAAACCAATCAAGTGAAATACTGTCCGTAATACTCACATTCTCCATAATAGCGTGCAACATATTGTAGATTGAGTTTGGTGAGCTTTTCGTAAATTGATATTTGATTAGCATTTTGAATGCATCAAGATTGTTGTATGAATCACAATGTTTGACAACAATGTTGCAGTCATTGAGTTGAATGACTTGACCAGTTGCTCCAAATCCAATCACAGTACCAGAACAAAGTGAATCCACATTCAGATTATACTTGATTGTGCTTGAATCATTACTGCCAGAGTCTGATTGTTTGTGGAAAGTAGCATCATCAGTCTCCATTTCAATATTACCAGTAGCTTTTAGAGCAATGTCAAACATTTGATGTTGTGTAACAATGAGGGTGTAAAATGTAGTACAGAAATAGACGACTAAATTACATTTATTCCAACAGATTTAGCACTCTTGTTCAAGTAAAACAGTATCATTCGATGTTCATTATACACTACTTGTACGTTGAATCATGCCAATCACTTGCTACTTTAACAAGCATGGGATATCACGGCACATATTGATGACCAACTAATAGCCGAGTGTCAACTTATTGCAGTCTCAGTTTATGCTCATTTCTTAACCCTAACCCTAACCCTTGATCATAACCCTTTTTAGGGTGGGACTGCATAGCCAACCATATGATATTCGAGTGTATGGACAAATAGCGGCTCAACCAAGGTTGCAGGTCAACATATAAAGGGATATCCCTTCAAAGTTTGGAATTGACAACAAATCAACATTCAACCCTGGCAACACAAGCTCCTTAGGACGGTCGTTCAAGGAGTATGCTTTTATTATCATTTATTCAATAATGTATATAAATACAGTTCAAAAACCGACTTGTTGAATGACATTACAACTTGCTCAACCAAACCAGTAGAATGAAACTCGCAGTTGCTGTATTGTCATCAATCTTGCTTGCATGCTCGGTTACTATTGCCAATCCAATCGATCCCAGTGCAACTACAGATGTTGAAGATGGCATTTCAACATTCATTCCAAGTGCAACTACAAGTACTGAAGCTAGCACCTCGCCAACTCCTGATCCAAACGGTATAGGCTTAGATGGTCTTGATACACTTCCAGACATCATCAAGGAATTGTTCGAAAATTACCAGAGAAAACAGGATGGTTTTGAAGAGCAAGAAGAAATATGCAACTCGTTAAAATCTGAATATGACGGTCAGACTATGCTGGTAAAGCGCTTGAAAAAAAAGATTCAAGTTTTGGGATATAAATCTCAAACAAGCGGTGACAATCAAAAATATTATGGTGAAATTCAGGAGACTAAGCTTAATCTCGAAGCCCAAAAAGCCAAACTTGAGGATCTTAAAAAAAGTCGCAAGGAGTGCGATTCCAAATATAAGGGTATTGAATTTGAACTGGAACTCATTGGCATAAAGCTTGTGAAGCTCGTTTTTGGGGGAACTTGGGATTCTAAACCATTTGATCAGCAACTTTATCTTATCGGCAAACATCCTTCTGTTCAAGATTACCTTGACGGATTACGTGGTAAAGGACAATCATCAGAATGCAATGAATGTCTTGGTCAGAATCATGGTGATCAACAACAACAACAAAAACCTAGTGATCAACAACAACATCAGAATCCTAGTGATCAACAACAACAACAAAAACCTAGTGATCAACAACAACAACAAAAACCTAGTGATCAACAACAACAACAAAAACCTAGTGATCAACAACAACATCAGAATCCTAGTGATCAACAACAACATCAGAATCCTAGTGATCAACAACAACAACAAAAACCTAGTGATCAACAACAACAACAAAAACCTAGTGATCAACAACAACATCAGAATCCTAGTGATCAACAACAACATCAGAATCCTAGTGATCAACAACAACAACAAAAACCTAGTGATCAACAACAACAACAAAAACCTAGTGATCAACAACAACAACAAAAACCTAGTGATCAACAACAACATCAGAATCCTAGTGATCAACAACAACAACAAAAACCTAGTGATCAACAACAACAACAAAAACCTAGTGATCAACAACAACAACAAAAACCTAGTGATCAACAACAACAACAAAAACCTAGTGATCAACAACAACATCAAAATCCTAGTGATCAACAACAACATCAGAATCCTAGTGATCAACAGCGTCAAGATCCGCAACCATCATCAAGTAGACCATCTGGATCTGGATCCTCTGGACAGAAAGTTCCCTCCAATAAACGCAGAAGGATTTCCAGGCTTGTGCGTAATGCTGGATCATTCTTTAAACGACCCGGAGATGAAGATCGCGAACCATTGATTGAACATTAATCTGTTGATTCCAATTGATTCAATTATCATTCCAACTCAACTTGCAATAAATTTGGATTTACATGCATTACATCTGATCATTTTACAGTGTCTTGGTTGACATGATACCATAGTGTACATTGACACTTGTATTTCCAATACAATACAGTTGATTGTATATTGCATAGTTGCACACATTGATGATGTTGGTATGCATGTGTGTATTGTGTTGATATGTTGCACAACAGTCATTCAAACAGGTTGGAGCATGCCATATTGTAGCAATGCAATCAACTTGGTACAACACATGTCAACATACATGTACTGTAGTGATGTTTAGTATACACTAGTAGTGATGATGCAACCAACGACATGCATGGTTGTAATATTATACGTGAAACCACATGTTCATGTCCATGATTATGATTATGGGGACATACAGCGTTACAATGATGGGTCAGCAACAACGTGGTGGAACTGGATGCGTAATATCAAAACCATGTCCAGAATACGTGATATAACGACGACTTGCAGCCATATTGATGTAAATGGACCACTAAATAACAGTGTTGGTGTGTGATAAACAGTTGCATTACTGACATGTGCCATGATTGTTGTTGAACTAGATTGCGATCGTATCCGTGATTCAGAATACAACAGAAACGACAAACGCTGATTCAAGACTATTTCAGTTCAAAATCATAGTTTGTGTGCATCATATCATTGACACTGTTTATAATAATTCATAATGTATATTGAGTCAACAGTCAATGTCCAGTACAAAACTACAACCAATATTCAACATTGTTTATTCCAAACCAACAGTCAATTACTGCAAGATAATGTTCAACTCTACATGAATGCGATTGTATACCATTTTGGTTTCAGCTGTAAATTTGAACTATTTCGACTTGTCCAAACTTTGTTTCTAATCTGTGCGATTTGTTGCGGATTCAGTGCAAAGGTGAGCAAATCTGATATTTCTACTCGAGATACTGGAGTGTCTTGATTGAATGCACTTTAACAAAGCAGTAAATACTATGCTGTTTTGTTGGATCACATCAATTGATATACTCTTGGATACTCGTGGCTAGTTTACTGTGTTGTATTTGTTAGACATTGATTGCGGTCTAGTTGGATGTCACGGATAGCAACAATCGACATGACAGTGGACACTATTGGACATGTACACTGCAATGTGACTGTCAGCAACCATCACCATCAGTGTGTATCATGTGTTTAAAAAGTACTCGCATGCATTGGATTCAACACCACGTTTGTGATTGGGTTTGATTGGATTGTATTGGTGGTGTTGTTTTGCATATATCAGTAGATTGTGTGTTGATTTGAATGACATGATCATCCATTATGGTTCATGTACACGATGACAATCTGACCTGTTGACACGGCCAGTTTGTTGAACGACCTGCCAATCTCCAATTTGATTATAGTACAACGTCACTCATTTGGTGTAGCAGTGACAGATTGCCGAGTTTGATGTTGATCATGTTGTGACACAATCAGCAGTGTTTGATGTATACAGTCTACATTAACCTAAAATGACTGTGCAGTCATACCAACGGAAAAGTCATGATTTTGAAATACTGCAATAACAGGCTGTTGGATGCTGTTGTTCAAATGATCCAAAACATGACCAATTGAACAGTCAGTCAATATTTGGTATACAGTGACAGTATATGCTGTAGTAATGGATTGTATATGTGATGATAATTATCCATAAGCAGGGTGACACTACCTGATTGCTGAATACACCACCGCAATTGGAGATCAACGCAGCATACTACTGAGGTTGATTATACACTAACAGCGATGCTTGTATATTGATCCATCATACAGGGTGTTTTTGGGTTTGTTCACCCTACAGGGTGTATTTGGCTTTTTTTAAATGTACATTTGGAAAGTGCTGGTTGTCACCCTTGAAACTGCCGTCGTTACAAAACGGCAGTCATGTATCAGATTCAATACATTTTCATTACACTACTCTATACAATGCTGATTACTCTAGAATGCGTTATACTTGCGTTACAGGCGGTTGCTGCAGTTCGACTTGCATTAGAATCACCTTTTGAAACTACTGGTCAATCAAGCAATAGACTATCAAAACGATCACCTGTTGAATTGAGTGGTGATTTTGGTCAATGTTACAGAATGAAATCCAATGTTAATGGAGTCAGTGTATGTATCATGTCATGGATTGTAGTTTAATATCAATTTAAACCACGTTGAATCAATCTCACACTTGTTTAAAATAGTTGAATTTACTAGTCGATTCAGCAATGTCTGATATAATCATGCCACTTCCTAGTTCTAGTGACGATGTAGGTTTGAATCCACGACACACTCCAAATGGACAACCAGTTGCTATAGAGTACAAAGGCGAAGAGTATAGAGGAGTTAGTTCCAATGCAGATGTGACGATTCCGGGTACTAGGATAACTGGCATCAATTTACCAGTAATAGCAGTTGAAAAACAATCGGCAGATATAGTTGGTATTCATCCAAGGTTTGATGGAATATTTGGATTTGGCTATACCTCGTTGTCAAAACATCATTCACCAGCCACTGCAATGGATATTTTGTACACCAATGATGTCATTCCTAATAACGAGATTGGTCTTCAACTATGTCCGTATGGCATGCTTTCAGATAGTTTCATCAATATAGGAAACACGGACGTAACTGCAAAATGCGGAACAGATGGAAGGAGTGTTGCATGGGTAGACTCACCATCAGACGATCAATTTTCCATCAACATCAAAAGTATACTAGTCAATGACGAACCAGTGGAGCTGCCTGCTGAATTCCAAAAAAAGGTGGAAAATGGACGTACTTTGTATTCGAGTGTGGAAACATGTTCTGCATATATACATTTGCCTGAAACAGTCGTGGCTACGTTGATCAATGCTATTCTTGATAGTGGTGCGATCACTTCTAAAAGTATATTATTTAAAAACAAACTCGGCAAAATAATGGTTAAAATCAACTTACAGGGAAACTTTTTAATATCCAAATTTGATTTTAAAATCGATTGGGACAAGATGCCGTCGCTTACAATTACAATGCATGCTGAAACCCCCGTAACTGATGACAATCGCAATTCTGTTGTAGCAATCAAATTGGGTCCCAAAGACTACATACAGAGATATGATTCTGAAGATTGCAAGTATTTGACAAGTAATGTAATGTGTGTTGTTCGATTAACCTGACTAATGTACATGTTGGATTATAGTCATGTTTATTGTAACAGCTGGTTCAAATGATTATGCAATTCTTGGTAGATCATTTATGACCCGACTTGGATTGACATTTGATCGAGCACATAAACGCATTGGGTTTGGTCCTGGGTGTGGATGCGAAGTTGCGACTAGCGACTATCCTACTATTTCGGACCATTATCGAGTGCTCTGGCCATTAACACAGTAAGTTGTTTGATATTGGTGTGTGGGTGTATCGATTGATATTGATCATGAGTTTGATGCATATTGTTAGATTACCTGAACAACCAAGTACTTCAGGTTCAGATGGTGCATTTATTCGCAGAAGGAGACCAACAACTACAACTGATCAAGTAGCTGTACCTGAAAACACCCATCACGCTGTCAAGAGTCACAAACAGACTCTCAATAAACTCGACTGAATACAATTCATTATAGACAAACTGATATTATATGTATATTTAATGTGGTGTGTTTATGTTTGATTGTGTGATATGTTCAAGCCGTGCATGTATTGGATCAGTCCAGTGTGTATCGTAGTTGTTTGGTGCACAATGATCACGCATACTATTGTATTGACAATACATGGTATGGATTGAATACACATTCCAAGTGTATCAATCATGGTATGTATTGTTGGAATCCATCACTGTATATCTGAATGATCATGTCGATACTGGATGCGCGATATTAACAGTTGGAATATGGTATACTGCTGCAAATATCATGATTATTACATTCCATTAGTATGTGTGATCATATCGCACCAATCGACCAGTATACGATCACTGTATACATCAACATGTGCATAATGACCATATTGTTGGCATTGTATATTCAACATGTGATATTTGACACTTGACAAAGTTGACACTGCGACTGATGTGTGTGATCAGTCAGGCTATTGATGCAACCATTTTGACACCACAATCAACGAGTCAAACCAGTCAGATCTGATATCAACACACATGACTATTGTTGGTATTGGTGTTGCATGTGTCAATACGACATGTCAAGCAATATCATATTGGCACAATACACACATGCATGTCAGCATCATCAATGTGTACAACTATGCAATATACAATCAACTGTATTGTATTGGAAATACAAGTGTCAATGTACAATATGATATCATGCCAATCAAGACTGTGGAGTAATCAGATATAATGCATGCACATACAATTTTATTGTAAATTAAATCAGAAATACAGTTGTAGAATGACAATTAAATCGGTTGGAACGAGTCCAGATTAGCATTCAAATCAATTGGATGAATCGTCATTTTTGGATCGCTGAAAGAATGATTTCAATCCATTCATAAACTTGCATGAACCTTTTTGTCTATTGGAGGGAACTTTCTGTCCAGGGGATCCAGATCCGGATGGTGTATTCGGTGATGGTTGTGAATCTTGATGCTGTTGTTGATCACCATGATTCTGACCAAGAGATTTATTGCGTCCTGATGATTGTCCTTTATTACCTAATTCGCCAAAGTACCTCATAACGGAAGGATACGTGCCGATGAGAAAAAGTTTCCGGTCAGTTGATTTAGAATCCCAAGGTCCTCCAAAAATGATGTCCACGAGCTCTATTTTGATGAGACTCAGATCAAGTTCAATATAACATGTCTTGAGCTGGCACTCATAATAGCGGCTTCCAAAATCGAAAAGTTTGGATCTTTGGGCTTCGAGATTAAGCTTAGTCTCCTGAATTTCACCATAATATTTTTGATTGTCACCGCTTGTTTGAGATATAAATTCCAAAAGTCGAATCCTTTTTTCCAAATCCTTTATCAGTTTCTGTTGATTTTCATATTCAGATTGTAATGGGTCGCATATTTTTCCTTGCTGATTAAGATCATGACCTAGCTTTAGGTGTTTGTCGAGCAATTCCTTGATGATGTCTGGAAGTGGATCAAGACCACCTAAGCCTATACCTTTTGGATTAGGAGTTGGCGAGGTGCTAGACTTGGTGCTTGTAGTTTCACTGGGTTTAACTGGATTGGCAATAGTAACCGAGCAGGCAAACAGGATCGATGACAATACAGCAACTGCGAGTTTCATTTTACTGGTTTGGCTGAGCAAGTTGTAATGTCATTCAACAGGTCAAGTTTTGGATTGTATTTATATCCATTATTGAATAAATGATAATAAAAGCATATCCCTTGAATGGTCGTTTTAAGGGCTAGTATTACTGTCAGGGTTGAATGGTGATTTGTTGTCAATTCCAAACTTTGAAGAGTCTCCCTTTATATGATATCCGCAACCTTGGCTGAGCCGATATCTGACCATACATTCGAATATCATATGGTTGGCTATGCAGTCCCACCCTAAAAATGGCTATGGTCAAGGGTTAGGGTCAAGAAATGAGTATAAACCAAAACTGGAATGAGTTGACACTCGGCTATTAGTTGGTCATCAATATGTGTTGTGATATTCCATGCTTGTTAAAATAACAAGTGATTGGCACGATTCAACGTACAAGTAGTGTGTAGTGAGCATCGGATGATGCCGGTTTACTTGAACAAGAGTGCTAAATCCGTTGAAATAATTGTAATTTAGTCGTCTATTTCTGTACTACATTTACACCCTCATTGTTATGTTGAAGCAATCAGACATTGGCCGTTTACGTATAGTTTGAATGGTTAGTGTGTATCTGTTGTAATATCCAAGCAAGATATCTAAGCTTCAACCCTTAACAAGCAAGCATTAGTACTTGCATTGGACACTCCCTAATTTATCATTTCCTCATTATCTCCATTATCTCCCTTATGTTTCAATACCACTACTCTTACTTTTTAAAAGACCCAGCGTTACCAATATTTTATATAGCGGCATATTATATTATATTTTTACTTGTTGAAAGACTCGGTAATTTTTGTCTATCTTGTATACTCTACTTTTTCGATACACCTAAATTCTTTAACATGCTACACAACATCAAATGTCTGCAAAAACAGCTGGAAATGAAATGCGTTTGTAGGAATACGAAACACCATACACAAGATGACAGCAGTATTGCGTACATACAAATCAAAGTATGCTATCATGATTGCCAACGGATTGATTGAAAACAACTTTATATCCAACTTGCTCATCAACAACCAACAACTCTGCAAGATCCTTCTTGCCAATATCACAGTATCTGGATGGAAATACGGAACCTATTCAAACTGCTGTCAATCAATACTGTCATTCAACACTGCAAGGCTGACATTGACAAGTTGTTTGACATCTCATTATCTCCAAAGAAAAACGGAATCCAGACCAGATTCGCTTGGAATGTCAACAACAACTGACTGTTTGTTGCTACATCAAGACTCGTCAGTACAGACCCACACAATACAATGTAAAAGGTATCAGGCAACCAGATACAAATGAACTGCTCGTCTGCAATATGCTGCATCATATTGGAATGGGTCCTGAAACTCGTTGTATCATTGCATCTCACAGCACCAAAACAGTCTACATTGCTATCAAGTATTGCCATGTGGTGCTATTGTCCGAGTTGACAAGGATACAGCAAACAATACCCAACTTTGATTGGATTTGATACTTCATATCCTGTGTATATGCGATTGTGTTGTCAACTCATCAAACTGCGGTCAAGTCGATGATAAAGCAATGATTGTCGACTTTTGTATCCAAAAACAGTCAAAAGATTACATTAAAACAGACATTATGGACAGATTCTACAAAGGAAATGGTAAATTCCATTGTTCTGGGTTGATGCAAATTGCAGTCAAAACAACAAACGCTGTAAACATGGATACGATGAACAAGTCGTTGTAGGAATGGAATGCAAGTTGCTGGAGAGTATTGAGCGAGCCGAATCGGAGATTGATGGATTGGTTTAAAATGGGGTAATGGACTGATATTTGAAACGATTTACAACGATATGTCCATGATCTTGAGCACAGTTGCAGTTCTAATGGAATATTTTGTTGGTAGCATTCATTTTTAAATGTAGGCATATTGGTATCCAGCAACAATGGAAAATGTGTAATATTACAACTGTAATGTCTGGACAACTGACTGTCTGAATAACAGTAACTATTTCCAGTGATGCTGATTTGTAAAAACTCGAATTATTCAACAACACTTTATCAATGCATTTGAAAAAGTGATTGTACAGAATATTCGTGTTGGTTTAGCATCTTTTTACGAATGGCAAACTTCAAATTATACCAAAAGATTGGATCAATCCAGAGATATGGCCAAGTTATTGGATACAATGGAGGCAGATAAAGACTGGGCAATTTTTAGAGCAAGCAACTGTGATTGATTTATTGACCAAGACAATGTGCCCTTGGTTGATCCTGCAAACATCATCTATGACGGATGTGACGATCTTGCCATTCGCGTTGTTCGACAAGGATCGCTACTGCGCAAAGAAGGTGTGTTTAAACGATCCTATCGGCCCGTCAATGCTGTCCTGTCCACTTCTGGATATCTGCATACTCTGCCACCACTTGAATCAACACCCATAGGAGCTACGCATTCTGACACTTCATCTGCAGGCGGTCCATTTTCTCCTACTGGCAACAAACCGGACTTTTCGGCTGATTCCATACTTGAAATGCCTGAGCTGACGCTTGATTTGGCAGAATACACCTTGCTTCCACTTAATCTTGGCGACAAAGATCACAAAGACATTGTTTTTGTTGGGAAAAACTCGGGTATGTTTGGACGAGATATCAAACACAAATTCAAGGGGAAAACCATGGTTGAAAGTGCGGATTGGTGGACTGCAATCAATGAACATATGAAACAGATGGGAACACGGACTTTGGTTGGAACACCCACTACACAGCACTCAAAACCAGCTTTTGCTGGTACTGCTCCTTTACCAAAAGAAGGTGCAGATGGATCGACTGGACTTTCTCAACGCGCTGCTGCATCTGTAGCTACTGCGAATGCTCCGTCGACGTCTCTTCAAGCTCGATTGGGAGCCGTTGTAAGTCATAGCAAATCCAATACGATTCATGCTACTTCTGGTACACGACCAGTGAGTATGCCTGCACCACCTCTACCTGGTCGACCCAAAAGTACTATTGTACCTACATTGAGACCCAAATCTGGATCGCTTATTGACGAATCATTTGATGATTTGCCTAGTAGGAGAGATTCGTTATCACCTCCGATTTCTTTTACAACTACTTCAAATGATCAAATTCCTACACCTGCTCATGTAGCTGATTTTGCTTCATTTCCACCTCCCGACACGAATGACAAGACCGAGGTGGGCAATGTATCTGCTTTATCATTAAGTGAACAAATAGAAATGAAATTAAGCCATGCTACAAGTGGTGGTCATTCTCATGATGATCCTGTTGAACTGGACACGCCATCACCCAAAGCAAAACTAGCTAGTCTATCTACCGGAACTAGCAATCCATGGGACACATTTCAAGACGAATCGGGTGGTTGGTAATGTCGTATATGGAACTCGTCAATTCTCTACAAGGCTTATTGTGGCATCTGCCATGTTTATTCAACTATTAAAACCTTATTTACCAAGATAATTTGTTTTTTAAACTTGAAAGCTATCCAATGGAAATTAGAGGTAGAACATACAATAGCTCAATTATTTTATTGATTTGGAAAAAATAGCAATGATTATTGTATTCGGTAGTATAGCAATACTCTCCAAAAAGTAGTAGCAACATAAAATACGGAATAGCAATATCAAAACAGGTGGTGAATATAAAAATGGTAGGGTACGGGAAACACTATTTTCGAGGAGGCAATGGAGGCTGTTGGCTAGATGTGCCAGTGGAAGTATTGGGCACAGAACTGGCAGCAGCAGCAATACCAACGGTTTCATAAACCTGACCCAAGATCCGCAAAGCATCAGCACGTCGTTTACGTAACTCGGTCGACACACCAGGTGCATCTCCGAGAGCATCGTCGCATACATCGCGTAGCACAGATTCAACTTCTAATTTGGATCCTCTCCACAAAGCTTCTAGTCCCTTTGTTGCCGCTTCATATTCCAGTTGCGTGCGGAGTTCTTGCTCCTGGGGTGTCAGTTTGACTTTGACATCCTCATCAACAGTCTTTTCACCCCCTTCACCTGTTTTTTTTGTTTTTTTATCCATTTCTTGAAGTTTGGTGAATTTGCTTTGCAGATCTAGAGCCGTACGAAACGTCCCGACCGTCTCGTTTAAAATGTGAGTTTTTTCTTTGATAGCTCCGCTTACTCGAGACCCAAGTCCCCATACTCGATGCCATAGCACAGCACCCCCATCCTCTGCAGCAATTTTGGCAATCCACTGATCAGCTTTTAAAACATAGGTGAATCCAATCGCTCTCAACAATTCGGGTCCATAGCTTTCCAAAGCAAGTTGTTGAGCTTCGATAGTAGATAAAGCACGAAACGTGTTGAGTGATTCGTTTGCCAAGCTATTCAAAGAGATCCCCAAAGGTGGAGAAGAAGTAGGATCAGGAAATGGAAACGTATCAGTGTAAAGCGAAAGCTTGGCAACAAGATTATGCGACAGTTTCTGAATACGTTCTTTACGAATCAAACGACGTTGTTCGTACATCAATGCCGAGTCTTGTTTGGCTTGAGTGGTAGCATCTGTAGATGGCACTTCTGTTCCCGGGTTGATGGTAGAAGAGTTGGAGTCAGTGGTCAAGTCATTAGATTTGGATGGATCTTTTGCAGCCATGACGTCTTTAAAATCCCGAGCAATGGATATTTCACCAATGATATCAACAAACATATCACCACCAAACTGTTGTCTAAAGAATTGTTCTGGATCGACAAACACAGATCCTTCAGAACCCACTGCAGCAGCCTTTCCATGAATATTATAAAATGAACGACGCTGTGGATCCGACAAGACTAAAATTTAAACATTAGTATAGTTTTTCTGGATACACATGAACCATCAAGTCTGTACCTTGATAAGCTTCAGATATTTGTTTAAACATTTCTTCAGCCAATGGATTGTCCAAGTTTTTATCAGGATGACACTTTATAGCCTTGAGATAATACGCCTTTTTGATGACAGCACTAGACGCCGTAGCAGGAATCTCCAACAAATCATAATATTCCATATCGATTGGATGGTCATCTAAATCAATCATGAAATTAGAAGACAAGAATCATCCTTTTTCAAAGGTTTTACAATTACCTGAACCGGTTTTTCCAAGAGTAGTTTTTGGTCTGCGACTGGAAGCATTGTTGGTAGATTGGTCCGAGGCATTTGTAGTTTTTTTAGCAGAAACAGATGGAGTCTGTTGAACAGCAGAAGTTGGAATAGAACAAGTCTCTACAAGAAAATCAAACCACTCTATAAACAGAAAAGGCATAAGCTGGAGTGACAGGAAGATAGAATTCAATGACTACAGAACAGTTTGGACACTTTGCAGTGACAGAAGGTTTTGGTCTCCTCGATTCAATAACAGGAATATGAGTTGAATCGCTCATGTTATCAACAACCAAATCTCAGCAAATGCAAAATGGAACACTTGTGTTGAAAATTTCCTTGATTTTGTTGGAATAAAAATAAATCGAATATTCTTGTTGAAAATTGACTTGATTGATATTGTTGGAATTGCAGGCGTACAAACTCATTTTTATTAGAATGTCAGCAAGAGTTGTTGCACAATACAAAACTGCATTTCGCGATATTATTGTTGAACGGTTTAAACCAGATTCAATAGTAAATGTGTCGTTTTGTTGATTCAAAAATGTATATTTCGTAAATGAAACTCATCTTCAATTGTCTGATTTACAAGTTGGTTTTGGAATACTTGAAATAGTACCGCAGTATGTATTGAACAGTGGAAAATGTAAAAAACAATAGTAGTATAGATAGGGCACTGAATGATACTGATTTTCTTGGTAGATGCTCTGCTAAAAGTTGTTCAAAGTGTCTGGAGTTGATCTCGCCTGTGACAGGTGATTTATGCTAAAATGCCATGGACAATCAATGTCAAATATAATGGTCAAGACTCGGTGCTTTATTCATACAAATAATTGTCTAATTCATTCCAACCCAAATGTACTATCTCAAGTACTTTCAACCAGACTAAGGAGCAAGTTTGTTTCTTCCATTCGAGCAACAGGGGAGCAATTTCGTGTAGAGAAGCCAAAGTCAATGATATATGGATTCCCAGATTCATCAATCAAGATATTCTCCTTTTTGATATCGTTATGTAGAATACCGGCCTCGTGAATGCTTTCGAGTGTTTCCAACAACTTCTGCTTTTGCTGTTCAGTGAATCCATTGGCCACCGTACCACAGATAGAAACACCTACACAGTACAGAACGTCCTCCACAAACCCATGACAAACGAATCTAGGTATGCCATTCCCTTGTAGCCCCGATAGCTGTTCATACACAGAAACCTCATTCAGCAATTCTGGAAGCATTTCTCCGTGCTTGGCAATATCAGCAACCTTGAGAGCAATACGGCTAGATCCATAGTAATCCAAATACACTTTGCTTCTTCCTTCACCAAGAACTGTATCGAATTTGAAATCATCAACATCAAAATCTTGGGGTTGCTCGTTGATTTGAATTCCAGACGACAAAGAACTGCATCCTCTGGAGAGACTAGCACGCGGAGATACCCTACTACTACTTGGTCGAGAGATTTGGGTAGCAGAACTAGCTCTAGACGGACGCTTTGATGCGGGGGGAGAATCCATATGATTGTGATTGACGATGCTGTTGAAATACGATAAGCATTGTTGAACAGTGGGTGTTCGAACAGTAAAGGAGATTCCCTCGGAAACATACAAAGTTTCATGACCTTGAGGTTCTTCACAAACGGCACATTCTTGATTTCGATAAACAAACCAGGTGTTTTCGTATGTCGACAGAATCCCATATTGCCTGTGGTTCAATCGCATATAGTGGTAGAGTTGGTCAAGAGCAGACGCACGTGTCCTTTCTGTGTCGTATGAATTGACGATATCACCAGTAGACAAAGCCCAATTGCCCTTTTCTTCAACAATAGCGACAACCTCTCCATCTCTAGTCATTAAATGATCTGGTTCCCCTACGCAGCTTGTGATTTGACGTCGTGCCTTGAATTCAGAAGGAGGAATGAAACACTTGGCAGAGATATTGAGCAAATTGTCGAGAATGAAGGGTTGAAGACTTTGAACTTCTTCGGTGATAATTCCAGGAACAAACACAGGTCTTTGTACTCTTTGAGAATGCTGATGATGATTAGCACCAATCCAATCAACAACGCTTTGCTTAAAATCAGACCACAGGAAAACATGTGTCGGCTTCTTCCAAATTCTGCCAGAGGTGTTGGGTCTTGACACAGGATTGTCATACACCGGTTCAGGAAGAGAACAAATCATATGCTCGTCCATAGTGATAGTATCTCTTAGAGAGCGAATAATCAGTGGATGGTCGTAGGAACCATTTGTTCCGAGAGCAGCAATGGGGTCCCAGGAGTTGTAGTTGGTCTCCACTCCATTCAACACATAATGAATGGTGAGTAGCTCGATCGGCGTGTCAGCAAGAGGTGATCCTGGCTTGTAAGCTGCAACCAGGCCACCAACGTCAGTCAGTGGCCTTCTTCTTTCTAGTTCTCCATTGAAGTGGGTTTCGATTTTCACTGGCTGGTAGTCCAGATATTTAATGTAGAATGCTTTGTTTTCCATTGGAGTTTACTGGAGAGAAATGAAAGAATTGAATGGAATAGAATAAGAATGGAATGAAATGAAAAAAAGAAAAGAAAAAATTGGACTTTAAATCCAAAATCTAATGTCATGTGAATAATGTGAGACAAATTCACACATTTTGAATAGTGTTTAAACATTTGTCATGTGTTTATTTGTATTGTTCAATCAAGTGTCAATTCAACTCAATTGATTACGTCATTCATATAATGACTCGAGTCTCTTATTCAACATTTTAATATTCAATGTTTAAATCAGTCAATTGTTGGATTAGTAAATACGCTACAAAACATTCATTTACATGCTGAATCTGACAAGTGGATAATGATTGTTCCAATCAACAATTGGATTGAATTGATTGCAATATTGTCATTGATCTCAGTCACTGTTGACCAATACATTGTAATATATTGACAGTCTCGGTATCAACATTGTAATTCATGTCAAGTTGTGCGTAGTTGCTAATATTACACCACAACAATAATGTGTCAACTTTCAATTCCTGTGATACACCGTTTCAACTATGACCGGATCGAGGTTGATCACTTGTCAATACACGGGTCAGTTGTATAATCGTACAACTGTTGGTTAACCAATGTTTGACTGTCAATATTTGAATCATGAATATTGTCCAATATAATCGTCACTAACACTGTCGTTTGATTGCCTTGTTCTATGAATAATCATTGCAATGTCATTTGTTCAGTTGTTGTTGGTTTATTGAAACCATGTCACAATTCTTGCTATCTTGCACATGATCTTGTAATTGTTGGTGTTGT